CATTGTAATATAAATTGAACTGCACCATATATATATATATATATATATATATATATATATATATTTGTTGGATTGATGTGAGTTTGTGGCCCTGGGTTTCACGCTTTTGCGATCGTCAGACAAATAAGTACCGCGCATATAATATATAAATAATTATATATATTTATATATTTATTTATATTTATATACACACACTTTTCACATATATATATAGGAAAGAGAGAATGGCTGAATTTTGTTTATTGTCACATCAGGCCTCTTCAAAAAGACGTCCTAATCGGAGACAGAAGGGAAAAGTTTTGTTTGTATTTTTTTTTCCTTCATTTAACCAGCCATTCATTGATTGATTCATTCGTTTATTTAATTCATTCATTTACTTCTACTCTCCACCCTTCAGATTAACCGGTTTTCTACCCGCGTGCCAACCTGGATTTCGAAAGAAATTCATCAACGCTTAGCAAATCTGGCGCGATTATCGATCCGACGATACCGTTTCTCGTTAACCAGCCCCTCCCACCCCACCGCCTGCTCGAACGCAGGGATGAAGAAATAAAAACGAACGGACGATGACGGGGGTTCAGTAAATCCATTGCCTTGATTACACAGGGAGCAAAAGAAATTATGATGAATTTTTCCAGTGAACGCTAGTGTCGACAAACGACGCAAATTCATTCCTTTGTATTAAGTCATGTTAAAAATGTATTTGACGGGACGGCGGGGTGGCGAGAGGTTTGAATGATGGAGTCATAAAAAGAGGTTCGTGTGCGTACAAAGGCACACTGAAGATGGCGGAGTTAATACATGACAAAGGCAATGAGCCAATGCCACGTTGCTCTGTTGCCTGTCCTTTCGTGTTCGATCCTTACTAAAGAAAGAGATATATAAACAGACTGAGATAGATAGATAGATAGATACCTATTAACTGATAGAGGTATGAAAAGGACTGATTCATTAGACTTTCCTGAAACCACAGCATTTGTCAGAATTCTGACCATGAGACCAGAGTTCGAATCTCACCAAGGTCGATTTGTCGGGAAGGATACTTCTTGATGTTATCAGATTATCAGTATTATCACGAAGCCACAAGTTATCGTGGCCGAGGTGCTGGTCTTGTTCAAATTGTTGATCACGCTAGATAGCACACTCTTTCCCAGAAACTGTAATTAAAGTCTGCTAAGAGTATCCTCGAATACGAGTGGCCAGTTATATATTATTTACATTATTCAGACTGTTATCCTCATCATATTCACAACGTTTCGACCGTTGTACGCTCCGACCTTCTTCAGGTGATTGTAATTTCGAACCAAACCCTTTATTTCGTAAACCGATGTATATTTGTCCTAGTTCCACGTGCCATGCCTCTTCTGGAAGACTCAATTATTTCCCTTTAATTCAACTCTCCAAGTATTTTTGGTTCACCACTGCAGTAGCCTGGTATTGAACACATATCAGTCTAGTCACTGGATCTAACCAACGCCTTTATCCACTGAGCCATGTGTCCTCAAGAAGGCCGGGGCATACAACAGCCGAAACGTTGTGAATATGGCAATGAAGATGAGGATAACAGTCCGAATATTGTAAATAATCATAATACCTCATCTCAGAGATTCAATCATCTGAAGAAGGCCGGAGCGTATAACGACGAAAACGTTGTAAATATGGCAATGAAGATGAAGATAACAGTCCGAATAATGTAAATAATGTAAATAATCATAATACCTCATCTCAGAGATCCAATCATCTGAAGAAGGCCGGTGAATATAGCAATGAAGTAAATAATCATAATACCTCATCTCAGAGATATTGCTAGCAATTTTAGAAGTCTTTATAAATTCAATGAAGTTTTAATTCGATCCCTGAACTTTTTAAGAGTTATCTATACTTTGCTTTTATTTATGCTAACTGCATGCTAATTATATTGATCCGTTTCGACACTCGTAATAGTTAGCAGTTAGCAATGACGTAATCAGTTTCAAATTTCTCATTTGCAATTAAAAACAAAACAGATCGATTGTTTCAAGGATAAAATATTCCAAAATAGAATAGCTAGCCTTTCCTGACAAACCCAACGAATCAAAAAATATATTATCCTACCCACTAACTCTATCACAACTACAACCGAAAAGAATTTATCTAAACTCAACATAAAATATGTCACACCTACATCTAAATAAATAAAAGACTTAATCAATACAAAACAAAACAAGATAAAACTTGAAAGAGATATTTTCTCTATCAACTGCAGGGATTGTCAGAAGCAATATATTGTTGAAACCTCAAGAAATTTAAACTAAAGTCTATATGAACACAAAAGAGATATTTAAACACACACACAGAAAACACATTGAGTGTTCAGCGTAACGAAACTGACCACAATTTTGACCTTAAAATTGCTACTTTAATTAAAAGAGAAAATAGACGAAAATGTCTAGAAAGTACTTTAATCACTAGTTTGGCCAAAGCAAATTTACATCCAAGTTCTTACAACGTTTCACCATTCTTGGCAGATTTTCTGTTATCACAATGTGGGATATTTAAAAACAAAGATGATGGAAAGAAAAAGAATATGGATGCATTTGGATAGATTACAAACAATTCCTTCAAAAAATTCTTTCACAAAATTTTGAAACTACCAGCGCCTCTCGTTCATACGTATGTGTAATCACAACAACGTCAACAAACCCAGTTCGATGAAATCCTAATGGGTGAAACGCATCACAAATAAACTTTTAGAATTTTGTCTCACAATTTCCTCAATACTCTTCTTGGTATATAAAATATATATCGTTATCTCATAATTCTAAAAACAACGGTGACCTGCGTAAATGCGAAGCTCTTCAGTAAAATGAATGGAGCACTATGGCAGCTTGGCGTTTGTTTACGTTTGTAAAACCAATACGCTAGATTTGGCTGACTCGTTCTGTCGAGTGAAAAGGGCTCAGTGGTAGAACCTCTGACTGACACCAAATCTGTTGGGTTTCGATCTGGGCTTGAGGCATTCATTTGTATAGTTGCACTGAGTATCTGTGATGCAGCGAAACAGTGCGACTAGTCTGCAAATGCCATATATATATATATATATATATATAATATTAACTGATAATTAGTAGGGATAATTACAAAGAGAACATTAATCCAAAGAGAACTGTAAACGTCGGACGGAAGCGCTGTATATATTTTTGTATATTCATTAAATAAATTTTAACCGAAATAGATTTATATATATGATAAAGTTAATTGGTAATCCGTATGGATCATTCCAGGGAGGATCTAAATCCCGAGAGCTCAATGTTGGATACAGAGCAAGTAATAATTAATTAACAAATTGAAGACTTCAGAAAGCCATGGTAATATTTTATATTTCGAGAGGCCGATAAAATTCAGTTCTTTTTTGATATCATAGACTTCTACCCCTCCATTTCAGAAGAAATATTACTTAAAAGTTTAAACTTCGCTAAGAATTACACTAAGATTACTGATGACGAGCTTAAAGTCATTATAGCATCAAGACAATTTATACTAATGTTTAACAACTTTTCCTGGATAAAAATAATAACTTCGATGTTCCTATGGGAGCATACGACTCTGTTCAAATAGCGTACTTAGTAGGGATATCCATATTAGACACAATCAGTAGAATTATTAGCCACAACCAAGTAGGTTTTTCCCAGGGACGACGTACTCATAGTTATCCCAAATAATAATGGTCCCCTTTCTTCTAAATTACAAAAAAACGATCATAAAGGCCTTTCAATTTCTGGGATTTAAAATTGATATATTTTCCAACCTCAAAATATTTAACTTTCTAGACGTTACCTTCAGACTTTCCAATGACACTTTGAAGTCCTTTCATAAACAAAATCAAACCCCCATATATATCAATGTCCACTCTAACCATTCAACATCAATTTTAAAACAAATTCCTAACATCGTTAATACCAGAATCAATAAGTTATCATCTAACAAAAAAATAATGAAAATAAAATCACATATCATCAGGCCCTTAGAATGTAATTTTACAAAAGAGTTAGTTTACCAACGAAATCTGAGAAACGATACACCTAACAAATCTAAAAATAGAAAAAAGAACTTAATATGGTTTAACCCACCATTCTGCAGGTTATCCAACATCAATATTGGTAAATATTTTTAAAGTTAATAGACAGACACTTTATTAATGATAACAATCCTTTGGAGAAAATATTTAACAGAAAAAGCTTAAAAATCAGTTACTCGTGTGTTGGCAACGTAGAAAATATAATCAATTCCCACAACAATCATATCTTAAGTAAATTTCACGAGAGGGGGGCGCGGCGGAACAAACCTCGCTATAGCTGTAGAGTTGGGGCCGTTTGTTCGGTGGGAGGGAATTGCACTTCGAAAAATGTTGTATATGAAGCTACGATTTTTCCAAAGGAAAATGTAAACCAGGAAAAAGTTTACATCGGAATTTCAGTGGGAATTTGGAAACAGCGTTTCTACAGTCACCGGCATTCCTTCAATAATGAATCTCAAAGACAGCAGACGCCCCTATCAAAACACTATTGGGACCTCATTGATGGAGGCTTCATCCCACAATTAAAATGGAGGATCATATATAAGGCCCGAACTCTCAACAATTTCAGAGACATTTCTATGCATCAAGGAAAAAATCCTAATAATCAAATATGAAAACACCAACGAATTACTTAATCGACGAAACGAGCTTGTCTTCAAATGCAGATATAAGAACCGCTTCGGACTTCTAAAATAACACCAATTTTCAAGAAGATTGACCCAAACTGGGTTCCGGATGTTTTACATGTATTTGTGCATGCGTATATGTATGTGTATGTGGATAGGTATATGTGTATATGAATGTCTATATATATATATGTGTGTATATATATATATATATATATATATATATATATATATACATTAATTATATATAATACAATGTGTGCGTATGTGTGTATATATGTATGTCTGTGTATGTTTGTGTGTGTATGTATGTGTGTATGCAGAATCACCATCCTTCATCGGAATCCCCCCTCCCTTCATCACATGTGACCTCATTTTACAAAAACCCTCTCACCTGGGCATCTAACGCTCACATATCTCTCTTCTTCATGAACGTGTATGCAAAGCATCTATGGTACTTCTTTTCTTTTGTATCTGTGTTGGGACATAGTTTTTGTACATGCAAACATGTGTGTCCCTGTCTGTGTAAATAGGTTTGTGGGTATATGTGTGCTGTATGTTGTATTCTCTCATAAGTAGGTGCATAGATTAAGCGTTGTGTATATATCTGGGGTCACTTGATGGAAAACACTCTTAAGTGCCCCTTTATAGCCACACGATTAGTAATGTACTTGAGGACATCTTACATCTTATCTAAGTATTGATTTAAAAATGTACTAGTCAAATATGTGCATAAGTGTTTACAAATAGATAAATAGATCAGTATGGGTGTATATGTGTGTTACGTGAAAACATATATATGTAGATGGATGCGAATGTGTATATGGATGTAGGCAGATATGTGTAATTTTAATTATATGTGTATATAGAAAAATGTGTATGTATGTAGGTATAGGGATTTGTGTACGATCTCAGGTTTCTCCTTTCCTCGCTTCTGTTCCCTGCCTCTCCCTCTCTCTTTATTCCTTTCTCTTGTCCAGTGAATGAGAGGTCAATGCTACAAACATCGTATCTCCTATAAACATATACCCCCCCTTCCTAATCTGTGTAACTATCTTAAAACACAACTTCCGCTAATCTTGTTTCTCATTTCGTTTTTCGGTTGATTCCCGGAAGAACTTTTAAATCTACTCATTGTTTTCAAACCGCAAGGTCTGACGAAGCGAAATTAAATTTTATCGATCTCGCAAAATATAAAATATTACCATGGCTTTCTGAAGTCTCCGATTTTTAACTATATATATATATATATATATATATATATATATATATATATATATATATATATATATATATATATATATTATAAATTAATTGATTTAAAATATGTTTTTTTCGCTACACAGTTCCAACCATGTTTCAAAAATAGAAGCTAAAACCTGAATTTAATTTTGCAATTAAATTAAAAGCATTAGTTCCATTTCATCTTCAAGCGAATTTTGGAGTAACTTTGAAAAATTACCGGGTTTTAAAGACACAGCTAAAATCACATTTCCATGGTTACAGAATATTCTACTTAAATTGAACAAGGGATGTCTAGATTTTCCTTATGTCAGTATCATTGTATCAGTTATTAGCTACAATTTGGAAGGGGTAGGGATGTATTTTACAATGAAACCTGACATCAGTTGAATGGATGTCGTCTGAATGTTTTTTTAAAAAATTGTTAACGGTAAAATTAATGCTCTGTAAATTTACATTGAGCACTATTTTGTAAAAATAAAAATATCTATAAGAACACCGGATTTTATATCTTACTGTTCTTTCTTTATATATATATATATATATATATATATATATATATGCACGTTTATTTTCGGTAGATAAATTACATAAAAAAATCAATCAAAATTCGTAAACAATTACATAGGACACACTACAACATGTTTAACCAGAAGACTCACATTATATCTTTCTGACCATAGCTCAATTAGGTCTCATTTAAATACTCATAGAGGCCTACTTGGTCCTTATTCGTAATATACTCGTTGACAACACAAATATAATAGCATCATCTACATGTAAGAAAAGGCTAAAAATAATGGAAGCCTTATTAATAAAAACAAAAACACCAGCATTCGATAATATCAACTATGAACATGGACAACAATATCATGACCGTGTTTTGAAAATGAAAGCATTATATAAATACATACATACATACATACAAGAATCTATTCCTTGTAAACAGTTAATATATTTCAACCTTGAAAATGGCTAAATGTATAGCCGAAAGCGCTCGAAAAAAAAAAACAACAATTGAACAGTTCTTATATAATTTATCGACTGAAAAGAAAAAAAAACAAGATCGCATGAGAAATTGTATAAAAAACTAAATCAAAGCACCTTGTCTGCCATATTCAATAAAACGTACATAAAAAGAAGATAAATACAATATATATATATATATATATATATATATATATATATATATATATATATATATAATAAAAAGGCTTAAACACTAATATTCCATGGTCATAATTTATTCCATTGGAATCGTAAATACGATCCAATTCATCGGACCTACAAATTCAAAAATAAAACAGAAAAACAACCCCGGAATAAAAAAAACAGAATTTAGAGAGAGTGTAAGTATGAGGAGGAGGGAGATTAAACCTTAACAGAGAAGAATTTTAGGAGAGGTGAGTGGAAGGGTTTAATATAAGAGAAAAATGAATGTTGACGGATGTCTAATGCATAAAGATACATTTTTGTAGTGACATACACACACCATAGACAATCTAATGTTAGAATATATATATATATATATATATATATGCATGTTAGAATATATATATATATGCATGTATGAATATATTGTTGAAGCCTAAGGAAGGTTACTGAATAGAATAATCTCACGAAGGTTGGTAATGAACGATAATACTTAGGACAAGAACAGCACATATAAGATTAGTTAGCGGAGAGTAGAAGAAGTAGTCAACTTCTACAAGTGAATCTCAAGTGAATATCTGCAGGATATCTACCAACCGTCCCACGCGGTCAGATGTGGCACAAGGCCGAATTAATTTAATCTAAGCTATTATTATTTATAAAAATATTCTTATAATTTCAAAAAGTAATCTTAACCTGTTAAAGTCTAGGGTTAACCGTTAGCTTTACCACATACAATCATAAACTGTATCTCTTACCTATTACTCTGTAAGCCTCTGCCTTGAGGGGCTTTGGGGCCTTGTACAGGGTGAACATTATCAAAAAAAACAGCTACTGTACTTGAGAAAACCATTTTCCTAAGAAAAGTGTTTTAAGAGAAAGATTTTTTATAAATTTCAGTTGAAATCAATACCGGATGCCCAATCAATTGATACCTTATAAGGAAATGGCTAATGTTATCATTATTGTTAGGAGGAAAACAGATACTACACTTTGATCCCAGTCTAAAGGCCAAAGAATGAAGGTAACTTGAATAACCTGCCTGCTTGGTCAGTGAATACTGAATGTTTCCTCATAAGGAAACAGTTAATATTACTATTGTCATGCCATACCTCTTCAATATGTAGACATTCGTGGCGCTCCACAACTTCCCATCTTTTGTTTCTTCAAATAATTTTTGACGCTTCAGCTTTCGTTTGTGTCTTTATTCTCTCCCTGATGTTAAGTATATGTTTCCATTTTCTCTAAGATTTCATCGTTGCTCACATATTCGATCCATTGTATCCTCATCATCCTTCTGTAGAGCCACATTTTTGTTGCCGCAAGTCTGTTCAACTTTGAGGAGATTATCCAGCAATTACTCACATATAGGAGGATTGATATCAGGTAAAAGTTCAGTACTCTTTTCTTTACGTCTAAGTTTTTTTTCTGTTTCTTAATATTCTGCTAGGCTTTTGGAAGGCATCTTTCGCCATCCCAATGCGCCTTCGGATTCCGCAATTTCCGTCCTCTATTAAAACACTTCCCAGATATTTACATTTTGGCACTTGTTTGATTTTGGTAATTCAGTTTAAATACATGTGGAATAAAAAGGATTTCAAAAAGCGAACTTATAATATTTTCCTGTTACCAAGGGGTTGTTACCAGACTGAAAACAGAATTAACCCTCTTGATACAGGGTATCAATTTTAGTTTCATTCAAATTATTTGTTTATATACACCAAAATTTCGAGGTCAACTCCTGGATTTAATGATTAGTAGGTTTCATGCCTTCCTTAGGTTAATTGACTCCTACTAAGCTCGGATGCAGAAATGATTTAACGTATTAATGCATAGCGTCTAATATTTTAGAGAGGGGCTGACTACAATTTAAAACAGGCCAGATCTAAGAGTAAAAAGAGCCAACATTTTAAAGAAACTTTATACAGCAATGGGTTAATTTTGTTATCATTATTATTGAATATACGATAAAAACCTTCAAGAAGAGAAAATGACTCTGGCCCGAAGTTAGCTACTAGATACACCGTCTATGTCTTTTATCAGCATGGCTGATGCTAACCTCCAGGAAAGTCAAGCATTGCTCCTTCTCGTGCTAACGTTTTCAGCTGACATGAAGTGGAAAGACTATACTGAGTCCATTGTCAAGGTCAGCTGCAAAAATGTTGGTTCTCTGTGTCAAGGTCAGCTGCTAAAAAAGTTGGTTCTCTGTGTCAAGGTCAGCTGCTAAAAATGTTGGCTCTTTGTGTCAAGGTCAGCTTCTAAAAAAGTTGGTTCTCTGTGTCAAGGTCAGCAGCTAAAAATGTTAGTTCTCTGTGTCAAGGTCAGTTGCTAAAAAAGTTGGTTCTCTGTATCAAGGTCAGCAGCTAAAAATGTTTGTTCTCTGTGTCAAGGTCAGCTGCTAAAAAAGTTGGTTCTCTGTGTCAAGGTCACCTGCTAAAAAAGTTAGTTCTCTGTGTCAAGGTCAGCAGCTAAAAATGTTGGTTCTCTGTTTCAAGGTCAGCTGCTAAAAAAGTTAGTTCTCTGTGTCAAGGTCAGCAGCTAAAAATGTTGGTTCTCTGTGTGAAGGTCAGCTGTTAAAAAAGTTGGTTCTCTGTGTCGTGCGAGACAATTTTTCTCTCCAGAATCTATCTTACGTATCCATAAGTCTACCATTCGTCCATACTTAGAATATTGCTGCCATATATGATCCGGTGCTCCTGCTATTTACCTTGAACTCTTTGATAAAATCCAAAGTAGAATCAGCAATATTATTGTTCCTGATCTGGTGGCTCGGCTTCACTCACATTCCCACCGCCCAAAGGTTGCCTCCCTGTGTCTTTTCTATAAACACATTCATTGTAAATGCTCGGATGAGATCTTCGCCATGTTACCGAGACTTTATGGCTTTAAGCTCAGTACGAGACTGGCGGCGAGATCTCATCAATTTACAGTTCAGCTGACAAGATGTAACCGTAAATTTTATGCCAACTGTTTCTTTTCCCGCGTTTCTCGCTTGTGGAACTCCTTTCCGGTTCCGTTCTTCCCAGCCAACATTAATATGTAAAAATTTAAATGCAATGTCAATCTCTATCTAATGTCTTCCTGATTACTCTTATACTCTTTCTGCTAATTATTAATGCTTCTTGTTGTGTCGGAAACCTACCACCCCTCCTGAAGATGAACTTGTCTGCTTCTGTGAACAAAGACTTTAAATAGTGGCATGTCAGTTGACATGATGGAAAGACCGAGAGGGTAAGACCTCCTCTGAGTCTACTTTTGAGTCGTGATACAGTCTTTGACTGTAAGCGACGTTAAAAAAAACCATTCTCTGCATTAGCATAGAGGAACCCGGACGAAGCTTTGCCGAAGGGCAAGGTTTCGTCCGGGGAGGTGAGACAGGGCCTGAAACCCGTCTAGGCGGGTTCAAAGGGTATATTTTTTTGGCCGAGCCTACGGGCTCGAAGATATCCACATTAAACCGGCCTTGTGCCATATTCGGTTCTCGTGGGTGGATCGATAAATACTAAGACAGATAGACAGAGAAGTTTTTAGCTGAGCTAGTTATTGACTACTCAGGCGATTTCTGTACCTTTTTACCAACCTATTAAAACCCTTTTTATTGTTACGTGTTATTTGGCGTTTGTCTCTACTAACCCCAAATCAACATCATAACACTTCTGTTCCTAATTCTTCCACACCAAGTGTGTCTTAGTGGCTTTGCTACCTTGTATGAGGTGATACTGATTAAAAAAAAATTTTTGAAATAGATAAACAACCTCCAATTTTTAGGTGACACTTCTGAATTCAGATGGTGGTCCCAAACTTTTGGCCTTCAGTATATTTTTGGCCTTCAGTATATTTTTGGCCTTCAGTATATTTTTGGCCTTCAGTATATTTTTGGCCTTCAGTATATTTTTGCGAGCAAGTTAATTCAATGAAAGACCTAAAAATGTTTCTACGAATTATTTTTAAAAAACTTTAAAAAATGATTCGATTTATTACCCAATAATTTCCAAAAAGTTCGATAAAATTTAATAATTATCTAATTTTTACGTAGAAAAAAAAATGATTTTTTTTTTTCTTATCTCCAAATTTATGATTTTATTGCGCAGTCCTGTGTAGGAGTTTTTAATCTTAGCCGAACTACGCATTAGGCACATATCCTTCCGCACAAGAGCAAATCCCATAAACGAATATTTTCTACGTTCCCGAGACATTTTATTCTGCATAAAAAATAAAATAAAATAAAATCCACGTATGCGTTGAAAGCGTTTATCTTTTTTGTAAGTGTTATAACTTTGCACCGAATGTAATTAAATTTTTTAACAAAATTAAATCTGTCTATCCTAATCAGAGGGGAAAAGTTTAACCAACAAACCTGAAAATGCTTACTGAGAGCAGTTTTTGTCCCTAGTTCCATGTGCGCGCAGAGACTCTCAATTTAACATTAGCCTTGTCCCACAACTCTTACTAAGTAACCCATAGCTGAGGTTAAAGAGGTGGATTCATACCTTTCCCAAAAGTATTTTCGCGTGGAGATAACGAACCCAACCGGAATTGGAACTCGGCTCTCCAGATAAGAATTAAGAGCCATCACCCGCACATCCAAGATTACAGCAACTAGTATTTCCAAACGGGCATACATCTAGGTACTGACCAGGTTCGACGTTGCTTAACTTCGTAAGGGAATCGGTGTTTCAACGTGATGTTGTTGTAAGCCTGGTGGAACTAAGGAATATAGTTCGTTTGAACACTTTCTGTGGAGTAGTGAGAGGCTTGCAACTTTTCATGTCTGGGAAAGATTTTGTATGATGGTAAGCTGTTATCGCTTTTTACAGTATTGACGTGGTTTCCTTCCTAACCTTTTGTTTGAAATAGTGTGGAATATCAACATCTTGATTATATCATTATTTTCTTTTCGACGGACATGTGCTACCCATTTTAGTTGTTACTGCTATTGGAAGTTCTCAATTGATCTAGTTTCTGTTATTTGGTACAGTTCTTTGTGATATTGTAGAGATGGCCCACGCTAAAACCTACATGCTTCATTCGCTCAAAGTTTTTTTATCATTAACCTGTTAAAGCTGTTAAAATCTTAAGTCATTATTTTCTCTTTGAGTTACATGTGCTATCCATTTTAGTTGTTGCTGCTTTTGGAAGTCCTCAAGTGATGTAGTTTCTGTTATTTGGTACAGTTCTTTGACTGTGATTCTGTAGCGCCAGACCCTAAGATCTGAAGAAAGGCTGATGTTAAAAGTTATCAAGTGATGTGGTTTCTGTTATTTGGTACAATTCTTTTCTGTGATTCTGTAGCGCCAACCCTAAGATTTGAAAAAGGCTGATGTTAAAAGTTATCAAGTGATGTGGTTTCTGTTATTTGGTACAATTCTTTTCTGTGATTCTGTAGCGCCAGACCCCAAGATTTGAAGAAAGGCTGATGTTAAAAGTTATCAAGTGATGTGGTTTCTGTTATTTGGTACAATTCTTTTCTGTGATTCTGTAGCGCCAGACCCCAAGATTTGAAGAAAGGCTGATGTTAAAAGTCCTCAACTGATGTGGTTTCTGTTATTTGGTACAATTCTTTTCTGTGATTCTGTAGCGCCAGACCCCAAGATTTGAAGAAAGGCTGATGTTAAAAGTCCTCAACTGATGTGGTTTCTGTTATTTGGTACAATTCTTTTCTGTGATTCTGTAGCGCCAGACCCCAAGATTTGAAGAAAGGCTGATGTTAAAAGTTATCAAGTGATGTGGTTTCTGTTATTTGGTACAATTCTTTTCTGTGATTCTGTAGCGCCAGACCCCAAGATTTGAAGAAAGGCTGATGTTAAAAGTCCTCAACTGATGTGGTTTCTGTTATTTGGTACAGTTCTTTGTTCGGGATTCTGTAGCGCCAGTTCACACTGTTCGAAGAATTTTGGTCATCATCAACATCCAAAGGCTTTATTTGCTCAAAGCTATTTTTAACCATTGATCTTAGAAACTTCAGCCAAGGCACAAGCGCCACTCGTGATGTAAAGACAGAACTAAGGAGTAAAGTTCATCTGGAAATAGCGATAGAGTAGCAATAGGCATGCGACATTGCCTCTGAGAGAAAAAGGAGATTAGAGAGTAGAGAATAATACCTCCCAGTACCGTATTAACTTGGTTTCCTATTTCTGTGGCCTTGTGCCAAACCAATGTAAGATTAATCGATGTAGATGTGTGTGAGAGTGATAGCGAGAAAGGGAATAACGATCACGCGTGTGGAGAATATGAATGTGGGTAGCACGTGGGTGGTGTATTAGATTATATGTGTAGGTGTGGCATGAGGGTGTGGTTGTCGGTGGCAAGTGGGGGATATTATTATGGAGTGTGGTGAGATCGTGATTATCATGGGTGGCGCGTAGAGGGGTAAGATCGTTCGCGTATCAACGTGACGAAACGAACGCTTTGAAATCGGCCATGATTTTAAGGAGTCTTCTATCTCTCTCTCTCTCTCTCTCTCTCTCTCTCTCTCACACACACTCTCTTCGTTTTCTCTCAATGATTTTAAGGAGTCTTCTCTCTCTCTCTATCTCGTCTTCTCTTCGTTTTCTCTCAGTCTCGTCTTCTCTGTCATTCTTTTCGCCTTCCTTCTCACTCTCTTCCCCTCTCTCGTTTTCCTTCGTTTTCTCTCTCTCTCTTGTCTTCTCTCTCAATCTCTCGTCTTCCTCTTGACTCTCGCTCTATTTCTCTCTCTCTCTCTCTCTCTCGTCGTTTCCTCTCTAACTCGTCTTCTCTCTCATTATCTCGTCTTCTTTCTCATTCTCACTTTCTTTCTCTCTTCTTTCGCCTTCTCTTGTCTTCTCTTCGTTTTCTCCCAATCTCATCTTCTCTCTCATTTTTTTTGTCTTCCTTCTCACTCTCTCCCACTCTCTCGTCTTCCCTTCGTTTTCTTTCTTGTCTTCTCTCTCAATCTCTCGTCTTCCCCCTCACACTCACTCTCTTTCTCTCTCTCTCTCTCTCTCGTTTTCTCTCTAACTCGTCTTCTCTCTCATTATCTCGTCTTCCTTCTCATTCTCATTTTCTTTCTCTCTCTTTCTCTTTCTCTCTCTCTCTCTCTCGTTTTCTCTTCCTTTTCTCTCTATTGCGTCTTCTCTCTCATTATCTCGTCTTCCTTCTCATTCTCATTTTCTTTCTCTCTCTTTCTCTTTCTCTCTCTCTCTCGTTTTCTTTTCCTTTTCTCTCTATTGCGTCTTCTCTTGCATTCTCTCGTCTTCATACTCACTCTCGTTCTCCCCCTCTCTTTCTCTCTCTCTCTCTTTTTCTCGTTATCTCGTCTTCTCTCTCATTCTGTCGTCTTCCTTCTCACTCCCACTCATTCTCTCTCTTTCTCTCTCTCTCTCTCTCTTTCTTCCCTTCATTTTCTCTCTATCTTGTCTTCTCTCTTGTTATCTCGTCTTCCCTCTCACACTCACTCACTTTTTCGCTCACTCTGTATCTCGCCTTCTGTTCATTTTCTCTCTATCTCGTCTTCTCTCTTATTCGCTTGTATTCCTTTTCACTCTCACTCTCTCTCTCTCTCTCGCCTTCTCTGTCCTTCTCTTGTCTTCCTTCCCATTCTCTCTCTCTCTCTCTCACTCTCTCTCTTCTTCTCTTCTTTTTTTCTTTCTTGTCTTCTCTCTCAATCTCTCGTCTTCCCCCTCACACTCACTCTCTTTCTCTCTCTCTCTCTCTCTCTCTCTCTCTCTCTCGTCTTCTTTTTGTTTCTTCTCTCTGTCTCATCCTCGTTTTCTCTTTCTGCGTTGAAACTAGGTTAAGATATAATTTTATTTTCATCTGATTTAATTTTTTTTAATTTTTAATTCCATCGCCGTGTTCAGGCGAATTACATTCCTTTAGGATCACCAAGATTACGGCCGGATCACGTCGAAACATGGGTTCCCGTACGATCAATGAAGTTAAACAATTCGCTCTTTTATCTTTGATTCTCTCTCTCTCTCTCTCTCTCACTCTGTCGTCGAATAAATTGTTATAAAGTATTCCCATGTTGACGGTACACATTTTAAGCCTTTGAACCTTGCGTCCTTGAACAATTTCAACCCTTCTGGCTGAGATCCTGAGTCAAAATCCACAAATAATTGCTATGTAATGTTTCACTGTAGATATAAAAATATTTATAAGTGTTTACCCACCGTTCAACCGGTGGCTGGGCATTAAGCCATTTTTCGCTACCACCGTTCAACCGGTGGCTAAACATTACGTCATTTTTCTCTACCACTGTTCAACCGGTGGCTGGGCATTACGTCATTTTTCTCTACCACCGTTCAACCGATGGCTGGGCATTACGTAATTTTCCCTACCACCGTTCAACCGATGGCTGGGCATTACGTCATTTTTCTCTAACACCGGTAAAGCGGTGGTCAGAGCTCAAAGGGTTAAATGCAAGTATCTTGATTTATAAAAATGACATAGAGCACAAAATTTTATTTATTACATAACTGACATCTTAGGTTGTCACATATGAAATGACGTACTTTATGGCAAATGTATAAAATGCTCATGAAATGTTAAATAACTAATTTATTTGGTTGAAATAGGCATCATGTTGATGAATGACTCTTCTCCAACGTACTTCTAAATTCTTGATTTCATCTTTTAATAAATTCTTATCTTCTGATGCGATAAACAGTTCAAATGTTTCGATTGCTTCTTCCTTATGTTTTATTTCGAATGAAAAGCTAAAGAAATCATAACCAGTAGGAGAGATATGAAGGGAATATGGCGGATGAAGTAAAATTTCATAATTCAGGCTATGCAACTTTTGAACACTTGACTGAGAAGCGTGTGGCCGTGCCTTGTCATGCAGCAAAATTTGGCCATCCTTATTCACGAGTCTGAAATGTTTACTTTGCAGTTTTTCGTGCATACACTTAATTTCTCCACAATACGAGGTTGCTGTTATTGTTTTCCCTTGAGACAAGATTGAATAATGAATAACCCATTTGAAAGACCACCATACAATAACCATTAACTTTTTAGTGTGTAGTGGAAGTTTTCGATATTGTTTTACTGATTCACTTGCATCTAACAATCTAACTTACTGTTATCAAAGAGTATACATTTCTCATCGCATGTAAATGATTCCATGCAAAAAATAGTTCTTTTTCCCAGTTGGTACTCATTCAGTAAGATTACTCGACATTGCTTCTTTGTAATCATTTTCATTTGGCTTATGAATAACAATATATTGAAATAAAACTTATCTGGAAAGAAAAAGAGTTACGAATAAGTCAAGATTTTTTTATATACTTAGGAGGTTATTTTGTTAGAAGACTAGATCAACAACCAAACAAAAAATGTGCCATTTCAACATATCAAAGATTTTGCTATTTCCAACATAGATTGAACTCTTGTGTATCAGTTATATAATAAATATATTTAGTAGACTGATATTTTATTATAATATGTGATAAATAAATAAAGTCGTAATTTAATCTAAAAATATGTTTGTTATTTGTTGAAAGTCAATAATGTAAAACAACTAAATCAGTTGAATCTATACTTAAGTAACTGAAAATAAAAAAATAATTTTTCAGTAGAATATTACAAGTAGTAATTCTCACTGAGTGGGCCATACAAAATACGATGGATAGACATGTCGTAAAATCAACCAGGTTAACATAAAGTGATTTCCAACGTATTTTAGAGTAAAGGGTTTTGCAATGCATTTGATAGTGAAATATTTCCCAATGCATTTTCATGGTAAAAGCAATTTCAATGAATTTTCGTAGTAAAATCCTGTCCAATGGATTTTCATAATAATATCATTTCTAATGGGTCTGCACCATAAAAATCATTTCCAATGCATTTTCATAGTAAAAATCATTTCCAATGCATTTTCATAGTAAAAATCATTTCCAATGCATTTTCATAGTAAAAATCATTGGCCAATGCATTTTCATAGTAAAAATCATTGGACAATGCATTTTCATAGTAAAAATCATTGACCAATGCATTTTCATAGTAAAAATCATTTCCAATGCATTTTCATAGTAAAAATCATTGCCAATGCATTTTCATAGTAAAAATCATTGACCAATGCATTTTTATAGTAAAAATCATTGACCAATGCATTTTCATAGTAAAAATCATTGACCAATGCATTTTCATAGTAAAAATCATTGGACAATGCATTTTCATAGTAAAAATCATTGGCCAATGCATTTTCATAGTAAAAATCATTGGCCAATGTATTTTCATAGTAAAAATCATTGACCAATGCATTTTCATAGTAAAAATCATTGACCAATGCATTTTCATAGTAAAAATCATTGACCAATGCATTTTCATAGTAAAAATCATTGACCAATGCATTTTCATAGTAAAATCGTTTCCAATTTTTTCAATCATTTTACTCCAAGCAAAGCATTAAACAATTAAGACGGTAGTGGTTGCTAAGAGTGAAAGAATAGACGAAAAAAAAAGCATTATTAAAGAGGGAGAACATCGGAAGATAGAAGATCACGATTGTCATTGCATTTAAATTTTTTAAGGTCAAAGTTGGCTGGGAAGCGAGGATCCGGTGGAGTGTTCCACAAGCCTGAAATGCGATACCAGAAACTGTTAGCGTAAAACTTAAGGTTACATTTAAGTATTTCTACTCTAAAATAATATGTATACATATATATGTATGTGTGTGTGGGTGTTTAAAATCTATGGTAAATATATATATATATATATATATATATATATATATATATATATATATATATATATATATATATATATATATATATATATATAGGTCTGCTCTACGGTTGTATTGAGCTCTTTTGTTAGTTAGTTTTTACTCGTATCGGGTTTTTTCTTTGGGCTTCAGACCTGCATCTGTGCGATTTTTTGTCGGCAGAAGTTCATGTTTGTAGCTCTTTCTTTTTTTAAAACCTTTTTTCCCTCGAGATTGATTTGATTAGCAAATCAAAAATTGAATTTTTTTCAAAAACGAGTCTAGTTATCTATATATATATATATATATATATATATATATATATATATTAAATTAGATTAGATTTAAAATTTAAAATTGGTAATTTTGAATTTTATAGTATAATTTAATATTTATTAGTTAAAATGAATTCTATTTTAGTCTAACCCTACCATTAAAGCATTAAATAATTATTATAACCAAAGTTCGTTGTCAAGTTGTTTGAATTCTCATATACTTGTATTCTGATTGGTCATTGCAGTTTATGTAAAAGTGTTTTAAATATAGCGAGAGGTGTTTGATTGATTTGAACCTTTTAAAATCCTTTTCTCTACATTCAACAGCATCAGTTGATAAGACACTAGAAGTGTTGAAACAAAATGGCTAGTTTTGTAGTGATTTTATAACATATTTGTTATAATTTTCGAATAAATAATTATTTATTTGCTCTACTCTGTATTGAGCACTATTTTTTAAGAATAGTATTATTGGTCATTGGAATTTATTCCGTATACATTAAATCTATACTTGAACATATATATATATATATATATATATATATATATATATATATATATATATATATATATTAATTGATTTAAATATGGTTTTTTCCGCTACACATTTCTAACCATGTTTCAAAAATGGAAGCTAAAAGCCACGAATTTAATTTTGCAATTAAATTAAAGACATTAGTTCCATTTCATCCTCAAGCGAATTTTGGAGTAACTTTTAAAATTACATCCCTACCCCATACCAAAATGTAGCTAATAACCGATACAATGATGTAGACAAAAAAGGAAAACCCAACAAATTTTTGTCCAGTTGAAGTAGAATCTGCAACCATGGAAACGTGATTTTAATTTTGATTTTAACAATAATATACATTTCTAAAAAAACATATTTCGATTCGCATGTAATTTTTCGTGTCCGTTATTACCTGGATCTACGAGAAACAAAATAATTTTCATGCCTGAGGATGGCTGAATGTACAGCCGAAAGTACTAGCAGATTAAAGAAAAGACCTTATAAAGTCGAAAGTTATTAAAAACAAGAATCATAATATTCATCAGCGATTCGTAAAGGTTATGCTAACTTTAAAATATTTGCGAAGATTTTTCGCCATTTATATCATTAATTTACTAATCTCCAAAATATAATAATGAATGATTCATGTAATATAAATATATATATTCATTTGACTCCTAAAAAAATATCAAATTGGTTTTTGGAATATAATGCATTCTTGAAAATCTTTTATTTTATTCTATCATCTCTCTTTCTCTCTTTCTCTTTCTCTCTCTCTCTCTCTCTCTCTCTCTTTCTCTTTCTCTCTCTTTCTCTCTCTTCTCTCTAATTTCTTTTTTCTCTCTCTTTCTCTCTTTCTCTTTCTCTCTTTCTCTCTTTCTTTCTTCTCTCTCTCTCTCTCTTCTTTCTTCTCTCTCTCTTTCTCTTCTCTCTTCTCTCTTTTTCTCTCTCTCTCTTTCTCTCTCTCTCTCTCTCTCTTTTTCTCTCTCTCTTTCTCTCTCTCTCTCTTTTCTCTCTCTTATCTCTCTCTTTCTCTCTCTTTCTCTCTCTCTCTCTCTCTCTTTCTCTCTCTCTCTCTCTCTCTCTCTCTCTCTCTCTTCTCTCTTTCTCTCTCTCTTTCTCATCTCTTTAAAAGATATTTCTCTCTCTTTTATCTTTTTCTCTCTCCCAATTTTACTTTGAACCTTCTCTCTTTATCTTCAATTTAAATGGTCTTTTTTTTTTTTTCAATCTTTCTCTTTTTCTCTTCTATCTTACTATCTCTCTCTCTCTCTCTCTATATATTTTTCTCTCTCTCTCCCTCTC